TCGATCACTACCTTCCTCCAGTTAGCTGTATGTAATCGTAAGTAAGTTCACTATGAGAAAAAAAATCTTACATGTTAGCAGGGACGTTTCAAACGCCCTGTATAATTTCACTCCAACATCAATAACAATTTCAAGATACTGTAAGCAGAATGAGGTAAAACGTAGCAGCGCTCTTTAAATACACAAAACAAGCCAGAAGTAGAAAAAATCTATTACGCGCAGATTTGATGCCGAAAAGAAGAGGGGGCCAAATCAAAATCGGGAGTAGTGATGCGCGTTTGACATCTCATGAAACCGTAGCGAGAGACGTGCTTTGGGGCGTCGGCGGAAGAAAATATCCATTAGCTGTGAGTACCAGGCAGACTCTTTAAAGGCTAATTACATTTAAGAGCACCGAGTGTCCCTGCTAACACAATATCCATTTCCTGATACCTCGATTTTCTGGAGTGTGGCCTGAAGTAATGAAAAAGAAGAGTTTTAGGGGGCCCAAATTTGTAGTGGCTGTGTGCTGTGTGTGTTGGAATGGGGGGGGGGGGTTTGGAAACGGAAAGGGTGCATATAGTAAAGAATGGGGGATGCTGAGGAGAAAAAGTAGGTGTGGGTACAGACCCTCGTCATGGGTTGAATACGTGATCCGGTTCCAAAAATAAAAAATCGAGAAAAGAAATAAATCTCGCGACTGGAATGGCAATGGTGCGATTAGCGAGTACGTAGATGCTTTGGAGTTTCTTTGTCTGCGAAAGCCCTGCTAGCATCTAGCGTTAAGTTCCAACACAAACACACTCAGAATCTTTTAGAAATGTATACTCCACTGGTGATACATTGAATAGAATTTTAATAAAAACAACACTTGATTGTTTTCAATAGATCCTTATAGTACCTGATCGCGTTTTTATGACAACTAGATTTGCATATGCTGAAGTCTCTCAACTAATAGAATTTTATCCTTCATCTAGGAAAAACGATATGTCAGCGTACTTACACTGTAATTTGTCGATTTAATTTTCATCATTAAATATTCTTCTTCGACGTATAGGGAAGAAACAATTTCTATGTTAATTTTAAATCTGCTAAGAAGTCTCTCCTTTTGTCCAACCCACATAACTAAGCTGCAGTTTAGCGGGATAAACTGGCTATTAACCGACACTGAGGAAAGTGGCGAACTATTTGTTTAATACAAAAAAAAATCCCTTTGATATGTCACGGAGTAAACAGCATTGTATAATGAAACCATTTTATTATTTTTATGCAGAGCAGATCATAAACATTTAAGGCAATCTAATTACTCTTGTATTTATATCTAAAAAAAACATTAATTAATAAAATCTGTTTACTGAAATATGAATATTCCATTACTTAAAAATAATTTTAAGTGGTTATCTGTTGAAAATAATTTTAAATATGCAAAAATATTTAAATTGGGTATTCTGTTTCGAGGTAAATACGGATACTGTAGTAAATGTATGGAGATATTGCATTAGCTTTCACATTTCCATTAACACAGTTTATATACGAGTATATATTTGTAGGAGGAACATTAATTTCAATCTATTTTCCAGAAGATACTATGCAATGAACCTCAGGACAAGGAGTGGCCATGCCCAATAGAGATGCCACGTAATACGGCACATAAATATTAAACAATTATTGTTTATCATTTACGGACTTTGCATCATAATGAACAGTGAAAAACCTGTCTTTTCGATATCAGGACTTACAGGGAATCGACTACTGGAAAAGTTCCGAACACTCATTTTAAACAGTTCATACCCGTCCAATAAATCATATGATAATGAGTAAATCGCGTAGCTCAACAAGACCGTTTATAGGCGTCAAGAGATTAATCGAGCACTGAACTTACGAAACTGAAAAGACAATTTAATAAAACAAATTCGTGACACGTAAGCCGAATAATACTATTTATTTTCTACGCTGTTTGACGCACGCACACACATAAAATGACCAAGTTATGTCGAGAATTGTCTAAGACATGTCTCCTATACACGAAAGCAAATCGCTCCCCAAATTTAAACATTTTTCACTCCCATTGTAGCTGACTACAATCCGCGGTTAGTCCATATCGAACAGAATCATCGCCTCCTGTGTCCACGTGAACGACAGGGATAGGAGACAAAGTCAGATGACGGGCAAATTAAATTATATTCTCAGTCACGCATCGCGAACATTTCGACACCGACTTCTTCATGACGCAGCGCTGGACAATGCACAGCACGGATCTTGTGTCATCCCCTCGACGTTACAGAAAACCACCTGGTCCTCTATTCCGAAGATGAGGCTAATAAACCTCACATTATGACGTCATATATGGTCCAGAAATAACTCTAACCCAACCCCTTCAAACACAAGAAACATCATGGGGAGAGGAAATTGCCGCTGGAAGAAAAATAAGTTTTGGGGTGGTTTGTGAGAACAAAATCGAAGAGGTAGAATGGGAGAAGATGACAAAGACAAAATAACTTTCAAACAAAGGGTCTCTCTTCCAGAAGCAGTAAAGATGATTTGAAGAGATGGAGTGACATGAGAAAATGGGGAAGGAATTCTGAAAGGGAATTACATGAAGCCTTCGACGTTCATCAAAGAATCAATCTTTGGTTTACAAACTACTGGTATCTGAGTCGAGAGATTTGATCTTAAAGGGTCAGATTGAATATTACGCTTGGCTCTTCTACGTTTACAGAAATTCGTTGGCAAAATCTGTGTTAGAGTCCAGACTTTGACGTTTACAGACTCCCGTCATAAAGAGATTCAAAATCCTTTAATCCCTCTTGAAGTCTTTTGATTAGACACGTTTCAACACTCGTCAGACAGAGCGTCTTCAATGAAGTACCATACGTACAATTTCAATAGCACATAACTTTATTTTAGCGTAAAAAAAAAATATACGCTCCCATAAAACATCGAGATCATTCTTTGAATTTACGTTTTTTTTTTGTGAGTTTAAAACTCACATTAATGAAAGAACAGTCATCAGATTGAGTCACTTAAAACCTAAATATGGACGCAGCAGTTTCCTCCAAAACGTAGTGGAGACAGGGGTTAGTTGTTACAAGAGGCAATTTGTAGTAGGAGTATAACTAATCAGCCCATGTCGTGTAGCAACATGTCCCATTCCTATGTAAACTGTTACGTTATGTATAATCAAAACCAACTATAAATACACCTTAAATGTTAATTACGAAGAATGGAAAAAATTACTACCTTAAACAACAACAATGTCTCAATTATTATGCACAAATATTATTCCAATATACACTGCACTCGTACAATAATAAGAAATAAAAAAATGTATCAACTAGCCCCGGTCTCCCCTACATATAGCCAAAAGGAAAAAACCTATAAAGCGCAATAATATAGACTCGACTATGTAACTCACATCACCGTGAGAACATCAAACACGGAAGTAAAAAGAAATTCTTTTAATTTTACTTGTTTTAATATTTCTCACGTCTCGTATTTTATAAGGCACGTAAACTGTACTGAATCAGTCACGGCCATGAGAACCTCAAATCCGAACTGTACTGAATTATCAGAACATTTTCACATGAGCTGCTAAAATGTCTGTTGACGTGAGCATGCCGTCGTAAGCTTTAAGCTGCATTCGCGAGCAAACAGGAAAAAGCGACGTCATCAGACCGAGAGGACTCATGCGATTCCTTCACGGAGAATGGGCGAGGTTTAAAGAGAAGACAGGAACAAGAAAGAAGGAATGGAGAGGAAGAAGTGAATAAGAAATAAGAGGAAGACAGTTACATTTTACGGCGCAGATATAATAAACACACCAACATTCTACATTATGAAGACAGGAAAAGTATCGATCTAATTCAGTCTTAATACGAGGTGGAAAACTTTTTCGAACTTACTACCAGATGGAGTCCGCGTAGCATCGGCCTACATATGAACGCAATAAACATTTTTCTCGTCATTACATACGAATGGATATGAGACTAATATCTTTTCCTGGTATCTAGAATTGTTTGTTCACGCAAGCGGAGTAAATCGCCTAGCTGACAGCCATTGTAAGAGTATTTCGCCGAATTTCACACGATGAAGTTTTATTTCGTCACTATTCTTATATTCCTATAATTTCTTTTAAACACGCCCTGAAGATGTCACCTGCAATATTTGCCGAAACGTTAGATAAATTTCAACATTCGACTTAAAAGACGACCTTCTAAACAATTTTGTTATTATTCTGATATCGATTCATGTTACTTTCAACGCCGTAATGGTGGTTGGAACGTAATGCTAAATTACGAGTCCTCGGTCTCACAGGAACAAGTTCCTTTGATGTCAGCTGTGCTTTATGATAAAGTCCAATATCAGTTTGTTGCTAAGTTCCCCACAAGTTCTCGCACAATGGAAGTCTCGGTAGGTAGATAATTGTTACGGTATGGAGCACGGTTCATGGAACTCTGTAATTCCATACTATTGTGAAGTTAAAGCAGTGTAAATGGCCTTGTTACAGAACAATATTATCCATTCCGAACTCTAATGAGTGGAGTCGGATTTAAATTATCTCGATCACGACATGAAATTATTATTTTAATCACATCAATCATAAATAAATCTATCATTACAAGATTCTTAATTGGGCTACATATATTTTAATTAATTTTGGTAGTTAATCTTTAAGGGCCGATTGGTAATTTTATGTACCACCTGTTTTTTTTTTCGTCCTCTAAATATATTTTCGTTTGTTTCAGAGTAAACAACGAACGTTTCCTTAAACAACGTTAACCGATCGATGTAATAATACAGACGTGTTTCTCCGCGGTAGGGACTTTAAATTCTTTCGAAAAAGACTCCGCTCCATTGACTTTCGTTGAAGATTACCTTGTTCTAGGAAGCTATTCAGCTTCTCTGACTGTTTATGTGGGCAATTATCTCGTCTTGTAATGAGACTGGCGTATCCGAAATCGAATCGACACTTGTCTTCTTACATCTACATGAGTTCACTCCAAACAGCTGAGAGTACTTACCAGAATCGAAGTACACTTCACTCAGCAAAATCCACTTGGTCGAAAACTCCAGCTCCACTCTCACGAACCGGCCTACTCTGTTCTGCAGCGGGATGGTAACGTTTCGTGAATTTCCTCCGACGTCCTTGTGCGGTGGCGGGTCGCGGAACCAGTCATCCTCACCCTTCGTATCGAGGCTGAAGTACAGAGGTGTCTGCTGGTATCGCTCGCCGTCCAGGCTGAAGAACACGCGGGCTTCCGTGAATACCTGCACCAACATTTAGAACAACCTAAGACACCGACAATTGAACCATCCAAATGAAATTTGATGTTCTCGTCTATAACGCCGCCCGGACCAACAACAATCACGTACTTCGGCACTAAAATTGACACCAGATGCAAGTTTACCCTCGTGTAAAAGACTCTCGCAAACTCATATGGACTACCGAGTCAAGGTCACATTTGTTGCTAGGTCGCTGCTCAAGCCATCTGCGCAAAAGCTGTGCAGGAGCGAACATGGTATAGTATATTCACGATGAGAACGCGGGTTCATTATCGTTTGCTGCTATTCGTGAAACATTTAGAAATGCCTGTCCTGACAATTAAATATAGAATGAGACAATACACTCTTCTCTACGTCTTCTCGGTAGGAGATAGGATCAATTCCACTCATTCGGTTCCAAACCGTTTCCATATCCTGATTCGTGTTACGTTTCTAAATCAACAACTATTATTAAAGTAGCAAATGAGTGAGAAGTTGACAATTAAATTGAGCCAAGTTTAATTTAATTCATTTTTAGAACGCTCGTAACAGAGATGAACTGGAATTACAGGGTTGTACATTCACATCTGCTTGGAAATCATTATTCTAGGGTATATAATGTCATATAAACACTTTGCCTCATAACTAATTTCATAAACGGTTGCAAATAATGCAGTGGCATCATAAAACGAATTTATATTTGGAACTTGGACGTGTTTATTTTTCCTTTCAGTCATTGGCAATTGATCGTGCTCTCCTCCGATGACGCAGCAGATGGCAACGGTTACTGGATGAAGCGATAGACGCAACTTCGAGTGTTTACAATTCCAGATATCACGGAGAAAAATCTCCTATGATGAAAAAATATTTAACACAGCTATCAATATAGTAATATCACAAAAATAATATCTGTTACCCTAATTAGGCCTAAGCCTTCAAATTTCTGTCTCATCTGGTGAAACTCCGAAGAGTGGCACGGGAACATAATGTACACAATCCTATTTGGTTTTCTGGTAATAATTATCGTAATGAAAATGTTACACACTCAGCGACAGCTTCCTCTCTCTTAATTAATGGCATTATCGTAATGAAAATGTTACACACTCCGCGACAACTTCCTCTCTCTTAATTAATGGTATGGCCAGAGGTTTACCCACTGTAATGATAAAGATGCTTAACATTCCTTGCTTTTGATTACACACTACTTCACAGCAGTTCCTGAAAACGCTGGTAGGACGCGCTGGTCACAATACGATGCAGTTCTACCAACTGAAGAGGGTACCGTGAAGAATATCTCGACCCAATGGTAGATAATAAATGGATAATAGCGAATATTAACATGTAAACAGATTAATAATTTCCGATCTTCGCCAAATACAGTTTTATCCCAACTTTCTGTATGTAAAAACAGGGGTAGGAGCGTCGGAAAGGCAGAATTTCGTGTTTATACTGCGTTAAACATATCTGATATTTTTGAAAAGACTTCTCAGTAACTCAAACCATAGAGAGATCTCTAGTTATATTTAAAAATGATCGGGAAAAAAGAGGGGTGGAACGTTTAGTGGGAACACAGAATAAAAGTCAATAGTGAAATTTTCAATGAGAAAATATCATTCATTCTAGTCACGACAAACATAGTATTTCATTTAATTATCTGTCATTCTGTATCGTAACTAATTATATACGTCTCTTTCAGCCAATTAAATTAAAATTCAAGCATTAACGACACTGTACCTGCAGACACCGCCAATTAACTTTTAGATTTAAATACTAACAGAACAACAATAAATATGTAGCTAGACTCTTCAATAACAAATTTATTACCAGATAATACTCAGCAGAGGATGTTCGAAACGATCCATCTCATTCTGTGACACACAGCGAACACCATAAAATTACTAGCAGAGGCCTACACACTACACAGTTACGTTGACAGCGATGTACAGAACTAACTAGATGGATGAGAGTTTTTATTTAGAAGCTGACAGTCGCACAGCTAGTCAATACATTCCCCGAACCACATAACAACAGAAAGTTTAATACCGTGTTCACAAATGGAACCTGTCAGTTAAAGTTGCCGGTTATTCAGATACATCACGCCACCTTAGACCCAAAACTTACAAAAACGTATTAATGCCGTAAAACTTATAATGTTATATAAGGAGATCCTGAGATCCCTTTGATAACGTAATATTTCAATACGGGATATTTCAAAATTCATTTGCAACCCCCCTCATCTTCCGTCTATCGTGAGTTGTTTCTCCCTCCAGCTTTGCAGCACACTATCCAACAAATCCTACAGTTTCCTTGGATATTGTAAGCTCCAGCACACAGTCTAGCCTCCCACAGCTTGGTACAAAGTGGTTACCTGCCCACATCACCCTGAGCCACACTCCCTCCTAATGGCAGGTGTTCCTTAGGCACGTCTACTTGTGCATCTCCAGGCTTTCTGTAATCCTGCACACAAGCCGTTCTCCCAGAAGACGGCAGCACTGCTCCTGCTTGTAGCTTCTCTATCTCTTATCAAAAACTTGCCCAAGTCGGATTAAACGTTGTTGGAGCCAGCCTCCACCAGGGATAGCAAAGAAAATACCGTCCTACAATAAAGACGGTAAGCCGAAACTTGAAGAGGATCTGGCGAAAGTGTGGATGGAGCTATTAATAACAGACAAAACACTGCCAAAATTCTGTCCTTTCTACAATTAACAGACCCTTATAAAGACGCGAATGTCTTCTACGCTGTTTATTAGAAGCGACATTTTAAAAACTGATATATATATTTTCCTTCTGACGACAGGTCCATATGAA